GCCTTAGGTAGAAATGGTGGCAAGGCTATTAATGGTGAATATTACACAGATCTATAGTGAAAAAGAACAGACGTGGCAGAAAGAAATAGGGTTGAAAAAGAGCACTAGGAAGATTAATGTTGGAGGTAAGGCATGTGCTGAAGGAGAGGATCCCTTTAGTAATAAGGTTTAAGTGATTAAGGAGAGGCCTAGAGATTGGCACCTAAACAATGAAGAGAGTGCCTCCAGGGCAAGACTAAACCCAGCTAAACCTCCAATTTGTGAAAAGAAAATGCTGCAAGGATTTTCTACTAGAAAAATCACTGAAGAGAAAATGAATGAAGCAGGCTGGGGTCTATCCCAAACTTGCAGCCAAACTTGACAGTGTCATTCACCTGGTGCTGGCTTTAGAGGCATGAAAGATGCAAGAGTGAAGGGGTCATCAGTTCTTCCTCTGAAATTTCGAAAGCCGCTGAGGCCAGGCAGAGTGCAACAGGAAGGAAGGCCCTGATAGACCATTGCATGAAGCTGTGAAGGTGAAGCCTGGTTGGCAGTGGAGACCCCAAGAAGTTCGTGATGCCAGAGCTGTGAGGCATCTGCCAAGAAGACCTACATACAGGGAGTGGTACCAGCCCGAGAGAGACGTATGTTGCACGCAACAAAGCTGGAGAAGCTGAGCCATCTAAGCCCTATGGAAGTAAAGTCCCAGAAGTTGGACATGGAGCTACTTGATTTGGTGTTTGCCTTGCTAGTTTTCAGTCTTGTTTTGGTTCAGTATTTCCTCACTTTAGCTTTATTCCTCCCTTTTGGAATGGGAATGTGCTTCCACTGTACGTTGAGAGTATGTAATTGTCTTTTGATTTTACAGGGGCTTACAGTGAAGAGATTGCCTTGAGTCTCAGAAGATACTATGGATTATGGACTTTTGAATAGTATTGAGACAGGTTAAGACTATGGGGACCTTTAAGGATAGACTAAATGCTTTTTGCATTTTATATGATCGTGAACCTTGGGAGCCAGGGAGTGGAATGTGGTGCTTTGAATGAGAATATCCCCCATAGGCTCCAAGTACTGGACATTTTTGTCCCCAGTTGGTGGTGCTGTTTTGGGAGGTCTTGGAAGGTATGGCCATGCTAGAGGAAACACAACACTGGGGGTGGGCTTGTAGAGTTCTTAAACCTTACCAGACCTCTAGTTGCTCTCTGCTTCCCATGCCTGCTTGAAGATGTGAGTGCTTAGCTTCTGTTCCTCCTCCAGCCACCTCTGCCACCATGCCTTCCAGCCATGATGAACTCTGCCCCTTTGGAACAGTAAACTAAATAAACTCTTCCTTTTATAAGTTCCCTTGATCATGATGTTTCTATCACAGCAACAGAAAAGTAATACACCACATTTTCAGAGATGACTTCTCCAGCTCCCTTACCAAAAATAGATTTCTTTCTGTCACATCTCTATCTAAGCATTATTTCTTTATTCTTTTTTATCCTTGTATTTTTTACTTTCTATATCTTTTTGTTTACTGTTTATATTTATTCTCCGAAGCAAGAATTCCATAACTGAAAAACCTGTCATATCTATAATACCTGATATAGCGCTTGTCTTTCTATTATGTGGCAGAAAGGAAAAATGGGAGAATAGATGGATGGATAATGCCAGGGGATAAATAGATAGATGATAGATAGATAAATAGATAGATAGATAGATAGATAGATAGATAGATAGATAGATAGATGATAGACAGATGATGGGTGAGTGGGTGGATGGTCCGACAGATGGGTGGGATAGAAGACAGAGGATAGACGGTGGATGGGTAGATGGTGGAGGGTGTATGGATGGATGGATGAACAGTTGGGTGATAGAATGGATGAATGGACAGTTGGGTGAGATGGATAGGTGGGTAGAAAAATAGATGACAGAGGATGTATGGATGGATGGGTAGAATGGATGGAAAGCTCTATCACTGACCTATCTACCATGAGCCTCAAATCCTTTTGGTCCATTCTGTATATCTATTCCTATAAAGTATAAAACTGATCACATTAATCAATATCCTGTTGAGTCATTTACAAAGATTACATCCTAAACTTCAAAGAACTTGGAATGGCATTTAGAATGGTCTCTTCTCTGTTATTTTTCACTTTTCTCCAGAACGGAACTCTGGAATCATAATTTTCCAAATATGCCATGGCATTTTAGACTTTGTTTCTTTTTATTGATGCCATTTGCCTCTTCATTCTCTTCCTCTTACATCAGCACACAGGCACTGGACTTCATCCTATGTCAGAAGCATGCAACTACACAGAAGTACAGAAGTCTTCTCTCTTGAGCATCCATGGATTTAAACAATGGTGATGGCACTGAGAATGAATCTAGCCCTCCTAGATGGAGGTATAGAGCTGGACCTTGTCTGAATGTTTATGTCTTTACAAAATTCATATTAAACCTAATCTTCCCTGTACTAGTATAAGAGGTGGAAACTTGGGGAACTGATAAGACCAGTCTCATGACAGAATTAATGTGCCTATGAAAGAGGCCCCAGAGAGCTGCCTAGCCCCTTATATCATTGAGGAAGCCACAAGAAGACACATCCATGAGAAAAGAAGGCACTTGCCCCAAATCCTCACAGCACTGCATGTTTTAGTGTCTTAAGCTTGAACTTCGCAGCCCCCAGCAGGATTGTGAAAAAATGCATATGCTGTTGATAAACCACCTTAGTTATATTTTGTTATAGCACCACAAATGGGCTGAAATAATATCCAATTGCTCTTTTTGCAAAGACTGCATGACAGTAATGGACAAGTCAGAGGAAGCATTATTGTTATGTTCAAATGTCCTTGTGATTTTAAATAAGAGTCTGGTGAGCAAAATGTACACATTTATAATGAGTTTATAACCTTAGTATAACAAAAAAGCCCCTATTTGTCATTTTAATAGTACACGCTTATTGCTTCAGATTGGAGCAGTAGACATTACTCATGTGTGGAATTTCAGCTGCTATTCTGGACCCTCATTACTGCCTGGGACCTTTACCCATTGGTCTAGACCCTCAGGCATGGTCTAGACTCAAGTTTCAAACATCACCTGAAAATTCAGAGGTGACCTGAGCACTCACTCACTGACCCGAGGCTCAGCCCCTATCCATGTCATGATTGCTGGCCACTCAAAGGAAAACTTGCTGAGGATGTTTCAGTCTACTTTCTCATTGATCTTATAAGCTTATAAACAAGTTACATATTCTGAATCAACAGATGTTCTATATAATTTCAAGCATTTTCTCTTTGTGACAATTTGTTAGAAATGGAGGGAGGACTAGATGTCAAAGACTATATATGCTATTTTAATGCACATTATATTGATAAATTACTGTGTGTTGTTGGGAAGCTTGTTGCAAATTGACTCTGGGAGGAAAGAAGTCTTCCTTTGGTATATTTTTTTCAAGTGTCCTCCAAACTCCCTGTCCTAGGTCAAGCTGGCCCCTGGCTAACAGGGAAAGAGAAAAACAGCAAACAGCTAAAAGTATTAAAAACACTGTATCCTTGAGAACAGGTAGGAAATCCATTTTAAACAGATGTTACTATTGTTTGTCGCATAATATAAAAATGCCTGCAGAGGGAATGAGAAGCTGGTAGCGCATCCGTAGACAAACTCAATCAGGAAGTCCAGCTTATAGCTTCAATACAGCTCCTCCAGTTGATCTCTGCTGGATGTTTGTAAATCTGCAATTTGATGATGTTATTTTTGTTTGCTCGCTCAATCAGGTTACTCTAGTTATCTCTGCTGGATGTTGTAAGCACCTGATGTGATGATATTCTGTCATCCATCTGTGGCTTCCATCTGCACTTGCTATCTGTTCTTGTTCTTTTACTTTTGTTTGCTATACTAACTTACTCATTTAAAACTGAAAGCTTCATTCTTTAAGCCATATAAAAGAACCTTTAAGAATAATTTTTGCACGTTACTTTTAAATTATTTTTTCAGTTTAGACATTGTAGTAAGAAGTTAACATGTGTTAAGTCACAAATCTTCTGAGGTAGTATTATACTTGCCATTTTCCTGCTAGACCTGAAGAAATGGGGCTTAAAGAAGTAGGGATGCATCTTTGAAGAAAGGAATGAGAGCTCCAGTTGTATCTGCAGTTTATCTACTTTTACACATTTCATGTTGGAGAGGATGTGGGAATCAGGAAGTTCCCTCTCTATTGATCCTCTCTTTTTCCTTTCTATCTTTCCTTTCTATCTTTCTATCTTGACCCCTGAGGTTCTAGGTCTGCTCTTGGGAGCAAATAAGATATCAATAGTTTGATTAACAATATAGTTGTCATAACTTTACAATGTGATCATATACCTTCAAAAGAAATTGTTCATTTCAAATTATGTTTATATTTTAACAATGATAGTTTTCATAGCACAGATATCTGAGATTGTTAATCTTGGTTGTAAATTTGATGGAATTTAGGGATGCCTAGAAAACTGGTATTTGGCTCTATCTGATGATGTTGAATGCTATAAATAGAATTTAATAAGGAATTCTAGTGGACATAAAGAACCAATTAAATGAAGATTCTGTTCTTTGGAAAAGATTTATAAGATTGATAAACCTTTAGCCAAATTAACCAAAAGAAAGAAGTTCCCAAATAGTGAAATTAGAGGTAGAAAAGAAGACATTACAGTGGACACTGCAGCAATTTAGAGACTCAAAAGGACATCTTTAAAATGTTATATTCCAAAATATTGGAAAACATAAAAGAAATTGATGAATTTCTAAATGTATACGGGGACTCAAAAGGCCATTATGATGACAGAAACATGTACAGGAAAAGCTAGATTGAGAGGGTTCTCATGACACTAAGAACTATATTGGAAATTTCACTGGCAGTCATCCTTGTTATATGCTGGCAAAGAATTTTGTTGAATTTTATCCATAAAGACTCTGCGGAAGGTCAGCCTAAAAGTAATGGACTAGGTTATCGGATAGAAGAAATTTCGAAACAGTGCAGCACTCAGGTTGTTACATGGGTACCGATGGCTGCTTTTAACCAAACTTGCAGTGACAGTCAGGAGCAAACAGGAACAGAGCAGAAAGATTTGAAAAAAATTCAGTTTGGTGAGAAAAGGAACACATTCAGGAGAGTTTGATTATTAACACCAAGAAAAATAAACTAAGTGCTTTCTACCTGTACACTGGGAAAGAAGCCTTAATGCATCCTAGGCATCAGCAAGACCAAAACCACCATGGCCTTAGAAAGAAAGAAATTCACAAGTGTTTTGGAGACTTTTCAGAATAAAACCTTTTGATAAAAGAGACTCAGGGTATTCTGCATGCCCAATTTTTCTAGGTATTTGTGTCCAGCCAGCAGAAGCCATTGCAAAGATGGTTCAAATCAGCCCATGTCAAGCTTACTTAGCAACAGACGTTGGGGTCATCCATATGACACCAGATTGGTAGGCATGCAGAATGCAAGAATGACAGGATCACAGAGCTTTTTACTGAGATTTCAAAGGAAAGCCTGAGAGGCCAGGCAGCATGTGACAGGGTAGGACTCCCTAATAGAGTGATGAATGGAATTGTGAGAATGAAACCTAAGCTACAACAGACTATCTCAGGAAGTTAGAGATACCAGGAATATGGAACATCTGCTGAAGAAAGGTACAGTCAAAAAACAGAGTTGGTCCAACAGAGGCTCTGTGGGGTGCAGCCAGCACAGTCAAAGGAGTGGGGCCACCCGACTCTTGGAAGCCCATTCTGCCACAGAGCCCTGATGCAGTTCATAGGATTTTAGGGTTTACTGTTTGGTCTTCTGGGCTTTGGTCTTACTTTGGGATTATTCCATTTTACTCTCTACTCTTCTCTTTTGGAATGGGATGATCATCACCATGTGCTTCTCCCAACATTGTGCATTGGGAAGATTTGGCTTCTTTTTCACTTTTATACGGGCTCACAGCTGAGCTTGTACTCAGTCTTGGAGGCAACTTTGGATTTGGACTTTTTAAGAAGGGCTAGAACTTCTGAGACCAGAAATGGATTGGATGGATATTGCATTGTGAGATAGCTGTGATCATTTGGGAACCAAGGTTCCATATAGTTTGCTACAATTTGAATCTTAAGCATTCTACAAGGGACCATGTGTTGGTGGTTTGGTACCTGCTTGACTCTTTTGGGAGGTATCAGGAAGCCTTGAGTCATTAAAACCATGCCCTTAAGATGGATAATAGGACTCCAGCCCTTCCTCTCTGTTCTGCTCCCTACCCCTGAGGTGAGCAGCTTTGCTCCAGCACGTGTTTCTTCCATGTGCTTCCACCATGATGTGCTGCTTTGTCATCTACCCCAAAAGCAATAGTTTGAGCTCTAAAGCTGTAAGCCAAAATAATCCCTTCTCTTTATGTTAATTGTCTCAATTATTTGTTATGATGAAAATCTCCCTGACACTGCCTAAGAAATAGTTGCTTTAGTGATGATTTGTATCTGTCAGCAAAAATATATGGAATCAATACATTTACTCATTTATTTTTTGACAGTTTCATACATAAGCACTGTCTTTACATGACCTCCTCCCTCTCCCTCTTCCAACTCCTCCCATGTACCCCTGACTCCCTCTCAATTTTGTGACCTCTATTTTATTATTGCTCAACACACACACACACACACACACACACACACACACACACAATGTAGTGAATCCATTTAGTGGTGCTCATGTGTATATGGGCTTATAACTGACCACTTGGGATTGGATAACCCTCAGGGAGTGCATCCTTGAGGTAAACTGATTCTTCCTCCCTCAGTAGCCATTGATTGCCTGTATCTCTTCATCTAGAGGTGGGACCTTGTGAAATTTCCCTCATCCACATTGGCTATTGGTGTTGTCATTATGCAGGTCTTGTTTAGTAACCATATTGTTGAGATTTCATTGGTGCACCTTCCCTGTCAAGTCTAGAAGATTGTCTAGCAGCAGCAGTCCTGGTCCTCTGGCTCTTACAATCTTTCTGCCTCCTTCTTTCCCTATGTTCCCTGAGCCTTAGGTGTAAGCATTGCATGGTATCTTTCAGGGCTGCTTAAGATGGTGGTAAAAAAGTCCTAACAGGTTATCAGATTTCTGTAGGAATCAAATACCTTTTATTCATGCACACTTTAACCCTACCTGTCGTGGACGTACAGCCCCAGGTCACTATGCTAAAAAACAACAGAGCAAGAGCTGACCTGTTAATAGCAGGCCTGCCTCTCCTGAAAAGCTACTCATCCCCTTCACTTCCACTCAGGGCCAAGTCCAGAATCCTGTGGAGACACAAGATCCCCAAAAGGAGGAGCCTGATAGCTACACCAGACACCTCTCCTCAGTCAGAGTGGATGAGAGACACAGCAGTGTGCATGGAGCTGCTGCTATGTATGAATGTTTAGTCACAGCTGTTAAGGTATCAAAAAACAAACATTCTGGGTTTGATATATGGCACTTTGAGGCACTTTTTAGGTCTCTACCTGACTCTGGATCATTCTATGTGTCACTTTTGGTCAGCATACTTTATCTTCTGCAGAAAACATGAAATTCAAGTACTTTGGTATTGCTCCTAAGCACATATGATGCTGTTTGACTCAGATATTCCCATATGCTAGTTAGGCTGTTTGCGTGTCTTCTACGCCACAGACAGGGTCTTTTTTTCAGGCATGCTGAAGATGAATGCGTACATATGAGTTCTTTTCACTGCCATCATAGAAAGACATCAGGTTGAAGTTTCCAAAGGCCAAGACACTAAGGTTTTTGGAGATATCCTTCCCAACTAGATTTTTAAAAAATATTTTATTATTTTTTATTTTATGTGGATGTGCATGTATGTGAGAGCACCTGTGTCATGCAATGCTGCGGAGGTCAGAAGAGGGCTTCAGATTCCCCTGGAACTGGAGTTAAGGACGATTCATAGCCGCCATGTGGGTGCTGGGAATCAAACCCAGGTCCTCTGCAAGAGCAGTCAGTGCTCTTAACCACTGAGCCAACTCTCCAACACCCCAACTAGATTTTATAACCCAAATGAAAAAGCCAGCCCCACCCCTTTTCAGGCCCTTCCCACATGGAGCATGCTCTTCACCTTGGTTATGGGACAAGAAATTTGAGCAAATTAAATCAATCATGCTATCAAATATCTTGGTCCTTTATAGAAAACTTTGGCTTGTGGGTCTTTCTATGTGCTGTAATAAGCTTTGCAGATGCAAAAAAAAAAAAAAAGTATCAAAGAATGGAAAGAGGCAACAGACCTAGATAGTCTTATATATAGGATAGAAAGACTTGGCTAGGATGCCATAAAGATACCATTCTTGCATTCTTATTTAGAACTATTCCATTACTACATTTACGTTAGGAAGACTGCCTCAGTGAGAATCTTGTCCTAAGAGCTTTACAGTTCATTCTTGTCATATTAATAGTACATTGATAGTAAAACAAGAGAATTGCTACATTTTCCTATGGTCCATAATGTTATTATTTATGAAAGATGACTGTTCATCTTTCTAGTAAGAGATTAAGTACTTAATATAATGGTAAACAAATATGATTTTAAGGCAATTTAAAGCATGTTGTTAATATCCAGCTCTTTATATTATGTAACGGGTTGTTTGTGTGTCTGTCTGTATGTCTGCCTACCTGTCTGTTTTTAAAGGCAGAATGATGTTCATCTAAAATATGTACTTTTCAGGCATCAGGCAAAGTCAGTGAAGATGAAATGCTGGAATTTAAATTTATACTGCTTATAAATCCAGAAAATACTGCTGTCATGACATGGATTAAATACAACTTTTACCTCTCTGTTGTTATCTTCCTATGATGCAATATACTTTTCTTCAGAAGGAAATTAAAAGAAATCATCTTTCCAACAAACCTAGAATGTAATTTCTTGATAATTTTCTCTATCTTTTTGAGTTCGTGACAGTAGACAGTTGTTCATTTAGTAAAGGAGGAAATCAAATGAATTTATTATTTCTTCTTGACTAAAAATAGATGTTAAAGCTCATAGAAATGACTTCAAGTGAATTACCTTCAACTTTTTGTAGAAAGCAGACTTTTTCTTGTAAAATCCACATAACTATATAGTTTTTAGATTAGGGACAATGTCCAACCACCGATGCTCACTTTAACAAAAAGAACCGGAGAGACTAAGTGATCTTCCAGTCCAACTTCACTTGCATTTGTGAACCTCCACGCATGGTCCTATGATTAGCCTGAGTTGATGAGGAACCTAACACAAACACACTATTCTGTTAAGTAGAAAACGCCACAGAATTCATCCTGACAACACTGTATAGATTGAGTAAACACTAATAATAAATATACTCTTTCAATTAAGTGTTTAAAGTTTGTAAATGTTGTTTGTATTATAAGGAATGTCTGGAGTCATTTTAGCACAGAACTTTGCAAAACTCAACAAACACATGAATTGTCTGCTCCTTGATTGCCAGGTCATGTCCAAACACCAACCAAACACAAGCTCCCTCTGTTGTTTTTGTATATAACCATCTACCAAGTACACTAAGGCAAGAACACACAGTTGGACACTAGAAAGGAGTCCGTCAAGGAATCCATCTGTCTCACTGAAAATCGGAAAGGATTTACTTGTCATTGGCAAGGCTTGTTGTGATGGTAGAATTTGAAGAGTGGATTCTGTGTGATTTGGTTTAGAGGTCAAGTTTTTGAGTCCGTGAAACACTGTTTTAAATGGATCTGGGTAAGTCTAAATAATATGTGATTAGGCAAAAATTAATCATTATCATCCAGAAGCTTCACTATGCTGTAACTAGTGGACCACTCTGCAGTAGCCAGAGTCCTACCTGGTCACTGACCTGCCAGAGAGCAAGGCTGTTGGGCAGGAGTTGCTCTCACTAGAACTTAAATGTCTCTATACTGGGAAAGAGAAGAGGGAAAAAGGAAAACCATCCCATTTTATTTGTCTAAGATCTGTTCCTCTTGAAATTTTATGTAGTCTTGAATGAAGTTCAGACTTCTTGAATGCATTTCAGTCATATTGCCTGCGTCAAAACAAAATAATAACAACAAAAATACTAAACTAAAACTTTAAAAAGCTCTCATTGGGAAGTCAAACCATTTGTTTTAAAGATAGACACATACATCCCCAGGGCCACGTTTCAGGCTTTCTTGTCTCTACCTGCCTCACTCTACCAAGCACTTGGTTTTCCAAAGGGATCCAGTAAGGGGAAAAGAAAGTGGTGCAGAGAGAGAACTAGAGGGCAGGGATGCACACAGAGCAGGGGTGCACAGCGATCCCCTCCTCGCCCCTGGCCAGTACACTGCACACCTGCAAAGCACAGCATCCCCTCCACAGCCTGAGCAGCTTCAGGTTAGAGGTGGAGGCTTTTAATGCTTGTAGATCCCCTTTTCTGATGTAGGACGAAGAACACCTTTCCCAGTTCGATCACTGACTTGGAGGACAGCCAGCTCTTGCCCAGAAAGTATCGATAAAATGGGAAACTGCGCAATTGGTAATACCAAAAGAAAAAAAAAAAATTCAAGGAAGTAAATCGCTGAACCCCTATAAGTGTGCCTGGCTATATCCAAAGGACCAAACTTTCTTAAAGACCCAGCTCGAGGGGCAAGAGCTCTCAAGCCAACCCAGCCCAGGGACCAGCCTTGATTGAAGGCAGTGCGGTCCCTGCTCTAAGGACCTTCCAGGATGCGTGGGTCTCGTCAAGTCTGGGGCGGTCTGTGAGCCGCTCATACCGTAACCTTTTCAGACCCAGCAACCCTCCTGGGTCCCGCGAACCACCCACCACGCCAGCAAGAAAGGGTCAGACTCTAGATGACATTCAATGTCGAGGCAATCAAACAGCTCCTTTTAAATAGCCCAGGATCTACATTTAGAGAAAAACAGATCCCAGTTCCCGGTAAAGGCGTTTCTGCTCATCCTGTCACTTGTGACAGGAACGGAGGGAAATAGACTGCGGGAGAGGAGGACCGGGGAGGCGGAGGGAGGACAGGAGGGAGGGGAGGCGGAGGAGGGGACCGGGAGGGGACGGGGAAGGCATGGGGGAGGGGGAGGCGGAGGGCGAGGCGGAGGGGGTCTGACGAATATCCGCACCCGCGAGCGGCGCTCGGTGGTTCTAATTAAAGCGGCACTCGGAGCCCCGGGGACCCGCCTGACGTCGGCGGCCGCGGGGATAAGAAGCGCCCTCGGCCAGCGGGACTCGGTGCAGCGGGTTGGCTTGGTCCTCCTCGCAGCGGTGCGTCCCGCGTCCCTGCGCCCAACGTGCCTGGCCGGAGCTCACTGAGTAGCATCCGGACTTGGGGGTCCCAGCAGCGCGGCGGGCGCGGGACTCGTGGCGTGGGCTCAGGTGTCCGCCCGCGGTGCAGGACTCCGGCGCGGGCAGGCGCGGCGGCCTCCAGAGTCCGGGGCCGCCTGTCTGCTCCGCCGCTCCGCACATCGCCAGCCCCGGCGGGAGGTCCGGTGCACCTGTGGCCGCCGCCGCCGGAGAAGTGCCCAGGCCGAGTGCTCGGTCCCCGCGGCGAAAGAAAGTTGTGCAGCGCGCGCTCGGCGCGGACTCTGCGTGCGAGAAACTTGGGCTCCCACGGGTGGGGCGACCGGTTCCAAGACCCGCGTCGCGGGCCATCGGGGCCATGCACGTGCCTGGGTGCCGGCTGCTCCTGGTGCTGCTGTTGGTGGTGGGCGCGGTGGGACACCGGGGGCGCGCACAGCCCCGGGGACCCGCGGACCGGCAGGCGCTGCTGAGGTTGCTTGTGGAGCTGGTCCAGGAGCTGAAGAAATTCCAAACAGGCGACTCCAAGAGGCTGCAGCTCCTTGGCGAGCAGGACTTCGCCCTGGGCCGCAGGGAGGCCACGGACTATGGGGCAGACCCGGAGGAACAGAGAGTGGGTGAGTGTTCCCAGGTGTAGACCTGAGGGGCGTAGGGTAGGTGAGCGTCCGGCAGTGTAGACCACGAAAAACAGCAAGTATCTTAAGAGTGTGGATAAGTATCCAACAGTGTGGACCATGAGGAGGAGCAGAGTGTGTGAGGTCCTGCCATTGGGGGAGTGGGGGGTTAAGGCAGAACACCATAGAGTGTGTGTCCAACAGTATAGACCTGAGGGATAAAGAATGAGTGTGGATCCCGAAAGGGAGTTCTGGCCACAGTGTGGATTTCGGAGTAGAAAGTGTGTCTAGGCAATGTGGGTGGAGGGGCTCCTACCTTCCAATGCTAAAGACACTAGATTAGTATTCTCTTGGAAATAGAATTTTTAGAAATACAGTCTTAAAGAGAAATCAATTTTTAACCTTTTAAAACCTAAGGGTTTTTTTAAGCATTGTTTTTGTATTGGTTTTGCTTGTTCTCAATAAAAAGAAACTGGCAGGAACAGGAGATGGTGAGCCTCCCAGATAACTCTTCCTAATCCGCTGGTGCCCAGGTCAGGGCATTCTGCTGTTTCCAGGGTAGGGTTCCCAGCCCAGAATTTCTAACAGAGGAAGAAATAGACCAAGCTCCCCAGATGGAGCCCTTCCCTCCCAGAGAGGCCTGTGGGAATTTCTCAGAAAGCATGCAAGCTTTCAATGCTTTCATGACACAATCAGGTCAAATATGACAGGGTCATTTTGTGTACACTGACTCAAGTAAGGAGTATTTGAAGAAGGGCCTTGGGGAGTGGTCTCTACCTTACTCGAGGAAAACTCGATGCCAGTGTCCCTCTTCAGATGTAGGAAGGGGCAGAGCAGAATTTCTGATAAAATAAAGTAACAATCAGAGCAGTTATTGGCCTCATGTGGATTAAAAGAATGGAAAATGATTACAGGAACTCTAAATAAAGCAAAAACGATGTCCAAAAATCAGAAAGAAAATCAGGGAACCATCACTGGAGACAGGTGCCAATGTTTTCATTGGTAGTAGAGTGTGAGCTGGTGTAGAAGAGCCTTTCCCTAGGGGCCCAACTTTGCCTTGTAAACCAGGCTGATATGCACTGCCATAAGCTCACTCCAGCCTCACTAACAGGGAATTCTAAGGAAATTTGATCCTTAAACAAAAAAAAAAAAAAAAAAAAAATCATTCAAGACTGGACAAGACTGGGTTTGGAATCACCTCCCTACAAAGAATAATGTTCTATAATATATTTTTGTTTGAATGTTCAGGATTTATTTCTGGAACTTTGAAATGCTGTGGAATTTGATTTCCAAGCTCTTCAAACTGAAGTGTGTACAAGTGATTTATCCATTGGAACCTATCCAAAAGACAAAACTTTTTTTGACCTTGTAACTTTATGGACTCTGACTCTATCATATCCAGAGAGAATAGACCGGTAATATTGGAGCTTTATGAGTAAATGTTAATGCTGTTAACTATGAATTAATGCTGTTTGAGGGAAATCATATCCCCGATCTAAATATTTACATTGTATTCTGTATAACAGTCAAGTGTAGTCCCATCTGTTTTATCCAGTGCATTGTAGTGTGGATAATGCAATTCTCAAAATAGTCCTCCACATTCACTTAAGATCACATTTAATAGGAGCTTCTTTCAAGTAATAGAACTTCTCTCCCCTCACAGAGATTGTTCCTCGAGATCTAAGGATGAAGGACAAGTTTCTGAAACATCTCACAGGTGTGTATTCTCTTCATTCCTCTGCCCTCCCTGCTCCTTTGTACCCTGAGTCTTCGTGACCTTCTTCCTCTGTGTTCCAGGTCCTCTTTATTTCAGTCCGAAGTGCAGCAAGCACTTTCACAGACTTTACCACAACACGCGAGACTGCACCATCCCCGCATGTAAGTGAGCACCCAACAGGCAGATGGCGCTCCACTCTTCCCTTCTGGTGCAGCAGCACTGCCCTTTGATAGGTGCAGGGGCCTGAGTGTTCCTACCTGACTGGGTTGGGGCAGGATGCCCAGACATTGGAGCAGATGGCTAAATTATGCAGCAACCAATACCACTGGAAAGTATTTACTTCATAATAATCCACTGGACTTAACTCTTGGAATGGGCTGAACCTTTCCATTCATATTCTTGCTGTTTATGAATTCTGGCACAAAGCCTGTATTCTGCTCAGTTGGACATCACACAGGTCAGGTGTGAGTTGCTCAGATACCTGCTGCTGGTCAGAGTGCTAGGGCATAAACAGTCAGGTTGCCCTGGTACTTTCCTGTCCAACTTTGTTGATCATCTCCTTGCTCTGACCAGTGGCTTTTTCTTTCCAACAGTAATAAAGACATCACCACCCAGGAATTTTATTTGCTATTCCAAATGCCGCTCTTCTGGCTAGTCTTCACCAGCTCAGAGACACAGAGTTCACAAATTGGTCCAGTTTTCATCTGTGTCTTTCTCTCCTTAAAGTCTGATTTCATTTTCACCATGCTTCAGCTATTTATTCATAGCAGTCTATTCTACTTCCCCCAAAGTGGCTCCATGTGCCCTCCCTGCTCCCCATAACAGTATTTTTTAATTGAGATGACAACTTCCACTTAATTTAAAGCTCACAAGGGAAAAGCCATGCAGACACACCAGGAGAAGGCTGGCTGCTTTCAGAGATGACAAAGCCAGTAGCCAAGTCAGCAGACTGAAGTGGCCTGTCCTGCCTGCCACAAAAGCACCAGTTACATGAAGTAGTTTTTTTTGTTTTTTTCTGTTTAGGCATTAGAGTTACTCAGAATGGTGATGACTGTCATTCACAGACTGCTTCTGTGTGACAGACACTGCTAGGCAGGTTCTGACACCGTATCTGTGGGTCTTAGCCCAGCAGGGCTATCTCACTAGCACTTTCCAAAGTGAGCACACGTTTCCTGTGGACTTTGATTTTTCCACCTCTGAACTTGCCATGTACATCTCGTGTCCCTATCTCCCCTGATTTCTTCTTGTGAAACAAAACTATCTTCTGTTTAAGAATTACTAACCTGTTTCTTAGGGCCACAGAACCTTTTTAATGTTTAAATGTATCTATATCTATTTTGTATTATGTATTATCTTACATTAATAGGATCATAGATTCTAAACTTGCAAGTGACCTTCTGGTCATTAAATCCCATTCATTTAGAGATGAGGAGACAGAGTTTCAGTTGCTTGTCACATGAGCATCAGCAAGACCAGGGCTCAGAGTTCATGCCCCACTTTGCAACCCTATCCAAACCTCTGCCAGGATGCACACTATCTCCACAGTGTCACCTCCTTTTGTTATTAAGATGCCAAGATTACTGGTCACAGCTCTCACAGAGCCCCCAGAGGTGGAAGGCTGACACATCTGTACATTAGTATTCATGACCACTTCCACCTCTTCTCCCATAAAGAACAGAACTGTAGTGCTTCTAGACAACTTAGGCTATACAAAAGAAATGCTTAGAAATTCTGGAGTGCTAGAAATGACATGGACCGTAGAGTAGAGCCTTCCTAGACAGTGTGGTCCCATTGGAGCTCAGGAGAAAGTGGAACCAAGTCCTTCACAGTCCTGATGAGCAAGATCTGCTCTTTGCATTTACATCGGGGTTAGGGAGCATTGTTAGAGGCACCTGGATTGAGTGAGATGGGGACGAACTGGAGTCTCTCAACATATTACAAGTGGAGTATTTACAGCTTGTTGATTAGATCCATCCTGGGCTCACAATCTAATATACCTTGATACAGAATTTAGGAAAACTGCATTCCAAAAGTGAGGAAGAAGAGCGATAGAGCAGGAATCTAGGTGCTCAGCAGTTAGGCTTTTCCTCCACACAACAGGTTAGGCTATTTTTCTTCCTTGGGCCAAAAGGATCTATAGCATAAACATTTAGACTGCAAATTTTTGAGTGTGTAAAGATCCATCATTGCCACTCATTCAGATTCTCCACTGCATGGAACTCTTCCTTTTTGAGAAGGATTTTGCTACTCCTGAGAAATAAACTTTAATAATTCATAAACTCCTGCAGCTTTCCACAGAACTTTGTCCTGAGGAAACTGCCCCTTGACTATGGTCAATGATCCTTCCTACATGGCTTTTGAGGTAGCAGAAAAGAATAAGGAATTATGGGAGGCATCAGGGAATATCAGTCTGCACTCAAAAAGTTGACTTTTTCTTTTTATTCTGCACTCAGAAATTAGCTTTTCAAAATTTTTTTCTTCCTTTTCCTCCTCTTCTTTACTCAGGATTGAATATGAGGCTCCCACAAACACTACTGAGCTATATCCCCAGCCCCCCCCTTTTTTTTTTTTTGCTTTCTGAAACAGTCTTAAGTTGCTCAGGCTGCCCTTGAACTTACTTTGTAGCCCAGGCTGGCATTGAGCTTCTAATCTTCCTGCCTCTGCCTCCTGAGTAGCCTTCCAACCAGGTCCAGGCTCCTTTGCTCCTTTTGACCCACTTTCTTTCAAACACAAATAATAATGCAAAAGTCTGTCATGCTCATCTTAGATGGGGACTTAGTCTGCATGTAATCTAAGACAAGCCACACAGGACATGGAAAGGGACTGTCTCACTAGGAAAGGGACTGTCTCACTAGAAGCAACACTTGTGGCATTTCTGTGAGCCTGACAGTCATATGGCAGAGGATGCTGCATCTGCCCCCTTGGTAGCCCTGATACTGTACCTAATTTGTTTGTGATGCCAGTTTCGAAACCCTGAAGTCGACAACTTAGAACCCATGACCGCATATAACAGGCTCTATTGTTTTTAGGGAATTCAGAATATTAAAAACTAAATAGCTATAGCACTTTATATCCTTGCAAAAATCCACTGCTTAATTTTAATGTATGAGCAACTGACAAGGGCCTATGGTTTATTTTCATTGCAGACTATAAAAGATGTGCCAGGCTACTTACCCGGCTGGCTGTCAGTCCAATGTGCATGGAGAGATAAGGTAAGCTCCCAATCATGGTGATCACACAGCAAGGGTAAGAACCCTATTTAGGTAGACATGAAAATCTCATGGGTATTTAAATCCATGCATTATTTGGCTACAGTAACTTTATTCTGAGTAAAAGCCAAAAGTCTCTCAAAACACTGGCTATGAGTGAAAGGCTCCCCCTGCTGGCCGTCCACAGTGAGCTGACAACACTGCTACTCATACTGCAGGTCTCAGCACAGACAATATGCATCAGGACAGATGCTTCAAACCATTACCATGGACTCCCAAGCTCAACTCACTCACTAACATTTATGGATGCATTTAATACAACTTAGAGAATGTGGCAGGCTGGGAACTGTGGCCCCCTGCTGCCCAGCATTACAAATTACTGCATATCAGCCCATAAAAAGATCAAATTCAAAAACTGAAGCATGGGGCTAGGAAGCTAGATGAGAGGGTAAGAACACTTCCTGTACAAACATGAGGACCTGAGTTCAAATTCCTAAGTAGCTATGTAAAATGCCAGGCGTGGCCCCACCCACCTGTAACCCCAGCCCTGGGGTGGTAGTGGTATGGAGACAGGAGGATCACCCTAACTCCAGGTTCAGTAAGAGACCCTGTCTCAAAGAACTAAAGTGGAGAATTACAGAAAAGACCCCTGACATCCTTCTCTAACCTCTGCATGTGTCCAAAGACACCACATACATCACACACACACACACACACACACACACACACACACACACAAACCTGAAGCATGATGCTTGTCAAATGTGCAGTACTTCTGCACCTTGATATAGTGAAAAAAAAAAAAACTTACATGAGACTATCATCCATCTGGGACCCTTTTGTGACTAAGCATATCCACACAAATTTTACAACACATCTGGTAAAGGTTTAGAGTCTTATTATAGCAAAAAACTAACATAGCTTTTAAATGTTCCTATCTGTATTCCTCCTTAATGTCTAGTGGCAGAAATGCAAATGCATTATCAGGTTGTGACTTACACTGGCCTCTTGAAGTTTTCAACTGTGCCACTTACAATGTGTGAGGGAAGGTGGTTTTATTTCCCAACACAAACACTACAGGACTCAGTCACTTTAGACAGTTTGGTGTAACTTTGATTTCACCACTTCTGCACTTCTATGTTGTGAGTGTGCCAGGCACTACCAGGTGGGGACATCCCACCACAAATAAGACCTGCTTCCTGCCTGCAAATGGCTGTTCCCAGAAAACGTGCCTCCTGTCCAGAAAACACTAATAAAGAGAATATTGCATTTTTCCTAGTGGCTGCTCTAGCTTGTCTCATAAAAAATGGATGAGAGCAGCACTCTGATATACAGATGGACCCAGTACAAAGGCAGCGCTGTGCACAGGCAAGCTCTTGGCCTGGCTGGGTGAGCAAGGCCAGTATAGAGCAGCCTCATGGTGCTTGTCCACATTCCCACTCTATATTCGTTTCTTCATCTGGAACAAGAATGACTAAAAATGAAAGGCACTGAGGTACAGGTGAGGCGAGGAGGCAGTGAGGGCTGCACAGGCTCACTGGCTCTTTTCTCTGGGGCAAGCAAAGGTATTTTTATGCCAGTCAAGGCTACAAAGTGCATACCCTCATTTCCCTTCCTTCCAAAGCTTTCCAGTTTCTCACTCACTGTATTTATGGCACACAGACGTGCTTTCTCTTAAATGGATTAGAGGTATATTCTTATGCTTCCATTGGTGATGTGCTGAGGGCATAAAAATGTCACTTCAACTATGAACTTTTAGAGTTGGTTCACCACTACACTATGCACACCCTTGGGAAGCATTTCTATGTATTCATAAGTCCAGGTCATCCACTGAGAGTTGCTCTGTCTTTGCGCCACCTAGCCTCCCAAGGACTGGCTGCTCCTATATGGGTTGCTGTTTCCCCAAAAGCCAGGCTACCAACAGTGCACTGTACTTATGTCTACTTGGTCTACCCGTGTCAGACAGCATGGACACAACTGTGCTTCTCTGATACAATGTGAGTTCAACCCCAGAAAGCATCAAGGAAAAGGCAAGGCTTATTGAGATGACATGGGACACAGCCCCAACAAGCCACATGTTGGCCTCTGCCACTACCTCTGCATCACCCAATGGGAATATGAAAGGACACTGCAACATAGTACAGGTCCAGGAGGGTGTATACTCATAAGCTTCTGTACTAAAGGCCACAAAGGCTTCAATAGTCACATGTCCCAAACTTAACAAGTTCAGTTTGGCTAAATGGGTGAGGTTTAAAGCACCAATATGAAATGCTTTATTAAGCTCTTTTAAGTCTGAGCAGTTTAAACTGATAGCAAGCCTGTATCAACTGGCCACTAGTGTAGATACTGCCTGGTGTTTCTGTACTTTGCAGATTGGTTCAGGACACCCGTCAGCCCTTAGGGGCAGAAAGCATGACGTATGTACAGTGGGAGAAACCCTCCACACATGCTCTACTGGCTCAGCGGCCACTCCAGTCCCCTGCTGTGTGCAGTTCTCTTCTCTCTTCTCAAGACTGCTGGATGAGACTCCCGTCCCTGATCCAGCCCAGAACCCAAGGGCAGGTTTTACAGGTCCTGAGGGAGAGCAGTGAACAAATCCATGGGCTCCTTCATGAAGAGAACCCAAGGGCAGGTTTTACAGGTCCTGAGGGAGAGCAGTGAACAAATCCATGGGCTCCTTCATGAAGCTCAGTTAACTGTCCTCAGAAGAGAGAAATGGCATTCTCTGAGTCCCATACACTTCATTACCAAATCTACCAGTATTTTTTTTTAAGTGTGATTTTGAATAACAAGTACCTAAGTACCTGGTTTAGCCTGAATATTGGCTAGCAACTTTGATGTTGCCCTCCTTTTAAAACTAAAGGGTAAATGGTATTCTAGTATAGTACTAGAAATAATAGTTTTGATTAAACAGTTTACTGTGTGAACTCTGAAGTGTAAGGCAGGCACACTCTTTCCCAATACTGTCCCAAACTGCAAACCTCTGTGGACTGAATACCCAAGGAACTTTACCACACATGCAAGACCAAGCTCTATGGCCAAAGTAAACTTTAATAGCATCCCTTCAGTGAGCACACGACAGCTGAAGAACTAAGTTGTTTTCTAGAGAAAAAAAAAAAAAAAACTAGACTACACACCTTGGAACATCAGAGAACTACACAGACTTCTTCCTTATACATGTGTTATACTGCTGAACTCACAGGTCTGCTAGAATTGGGAATAAAAAGCAAGTGGTTACATGAAACTGAATGTATTTGTTTTCAGCTGCAAAGGAGCAACACACCAGGAACCCTGAGAAGTGCCTTGGAAACCAACAGAACAGAACCATCTTCACACCATTCCCTATGGACAGAGATTTATTTTTGCAGACAAGACTCTTCCATAATTCCTTTGCATTTTCTATGTTGTTGACAGTTTAGAAATAAGCCGTCAGCAAATCAGTGTACCTGTTGGTGAGACTTGCCATTCTTTACAGAGCAAGAGAATACTCTACATTTGATGTATAGTGCTATAAAATGAGGTATTATTTCATCTTTCAGATTAGGTGAAATCACAAAGAATATTTCTTTAGAAACATAGGCAGAATCTTAAACTGTATTTTCATAGAGCATACAGTATGACTTGATATTTTATATTATTTCTACCATTAAACTCCCAGAGTATTATTTGGAACTGCACGAAAAATGTAAATGAAAACCAAAAAACTTCAGTTGTTTTGGCGACAGTGGCGTATGAATCTGTGACTCTGCCCAGGGTCATCCCAGTTGTCCTCTGTAAATGTAAAATGACATTCCAGCTACTGTGCAATATGTAAATACTGTGAATAAACAAAGAATTAAATGAAGTGTTTTGTTATACTGAGCAGTCTTCAGAGTGACTTTTCTCTAACAAATTTATTGCTGGGAATCTTTTTTTTTTAAGTAAAGGTGATTTACTAAGTATTAAATGACATAATTTCCGGATCACATGATCTTATTTGATCATCAATACTCCAAATAAGGTCATATCCACCAGGCCTCACATAATTTTAAGAGAATGCCCAAACCAAGAACCTTAAGAGCAGTTCTAGACTTTTGTGGGTAGATTTTAAATAACAGTAATTGGCTCAAACTTCAAAAGGTAAGTTTCTCTGTTCATGAGCCCTCATAAACACATGGTGTTTGGGACAGCCATAGGACAAAGCCACACGAGTCCTACATTCTGAGGATCTGCATCCAAGATAGATACATAAACATTCAAGAAAACAAAGGGATTTTATTTGTGAACACAAGAAATTTGAGGTTCTGAGGCACCTGCAGAACTAGGCTAGAGAGCTTCTACTTCCCTTCTGTGGCTGGCCACTTGCCCTTCCCTTCCTTGTTCATTCACTTTGAAGACACTACTACCACATCCTCCATCTAACTAGCCTTCTAGCAACTCCATAGGAGCCAGAACAGTTGGTGAAGTGTCTTACAAGGACATCATGGCCCTTTTGTGGGAAGAGGGCACTGGAATAGCAGGTGAGTCAGGTATTAAATGCTCTTCCCACACTGGGCAGAGCTAGCCCTAGCCAGGCAGGAGCCTGCAAGCCCCAGGCCTCCATGCTTCCTCTCAACCTCTGTGGATGCCTCTGCTAACTAGAAGCTCTCCAGGATTTGAGGTGACCAGCTGTGACCTGACAGACAGAAGAGGCTAAATCAGACATAACCTGTTCAGCTAAGAGGTCAGCTTCAGACATCCGTAGCACCAGCTATGAAGGTCACAGGTAAGAACATGTTCTGGAGTCTCTCCTAACTAGACAGGTAGCACTTTATGTGGCATCAATGTGCTAATTTTTCATCACTTTACTTTCCAATGTGAGGGTAAGAACACACACACATAACAGCAGACCAAGATCAAGGAGGCAGTGTTTTCGAATATTGTTTCCACTTGTCGGTACAAAGCAGGGAGACACCAGACATGTACCTCAGTTGTATTTCGTAATGCCCTGGCTTATTTTACAGTCTTTTCTGGCATATCCATATGAATTTGAGGTCAACTATCTGAAAGTGCACTACAATTACTTATGTTTGTCTACAACTTTTTAAAACACTGATAAAAGATCACTTACAAACACATTTAAGCCTACCAAACAAGACTTTTCCCAACTTTTTTTAGAAGCAAAATGGCTCAAATGGGAAGAAAAAAGCTAAGAAAACTAGACAAAAATCCAAGTAAGAATGGGAAATGTTAATTCTACCCATCTCTTGCTTCTACCTTTTATTATTTTTGTTTCTCACTATAGAGCCAAGGATAGCTTGGAACTCTGATCCCCACCCCATCAACCCCATGCTGGGAACACAGGTATGCACTTTCATATCCAGCTTTTCCTCTTTCGACAGAAGTGTGCACCCTGAGTGTGTCTGAGTTCAAACTTCCCAGTGATAAATGGAAGACTGCTATGGGCCGGGCTGCCGCCACTGTAAGAGCCTAGGGCAGAGAGGTGTAAGGTGAGCAGAGGGCACCACTGGGTGCTGGCCATGCACCCACTCCAGGTAGAGCAGAGTCTCCAGGTCTTGCTGGACCTAAAGGCTGACCTGGACCTGCAGGTAACTCTTTCTTTATTACTGTGTTCTGTTTTGTTCCCTATCTTCTTGTTCCACTATTTTATAATTAGGGCAAGGTGAGAGGTTCAACTAATCTACAAAATACTTAACTACACCTCAAACCATTTTATTCTAGCATGTTTATTTTGAAAATATAACTAATTTCCACCTAAAATTATTTTTCAGATAAACAGTAAGTCAACTGAAAAAACAGGCTGGACATAGGGCTACGGATCATCACCACCTTGGGCACAGCACTGCTAGATGGTGGTGGGAAGGACCAGCTAGTGAGTCTTCTCCAGGAAGGCCTTGCAGCACCTGAGGCATTGCTGATACACTAGCTCCAAGTCAGAGTCATTGCCCTGCAAGGACATAAAAAGAAAAACTAGCAATGGTATATATGATGACAATGTCCTCAGAAGACCTGAACCTGTCATTTGATACCACCTGCCCATCTTAACACTGGCCCCAAACCTGAAGTGTACTTACATAATAAGGATCTTCAATAATGAGTTTTTCCTGTGGATCATAGCTCCCAAGTAGCTCAATTTTAGATTTGCAGTTTTTAACTTGATTACTTTTTCTATTCAAATCTCTGTAAAATTGAAACATGAACTTAGATTTCTGATCTACGGTTTCAAGTTAAACACGGACATCTGCTCAGGGTTTAAGAAACATCCTTATCAAAATACAGCCAATGCAACCTGATTTGAAGTGAAATAGAACACTCCGCAGGGCCACAGGACTTCCTGCAGTGTGTGAAGTGCTCTCTCTGGCACAGCAGAGTACAGCATCAACACCTCACTGACTCTGACACCCAAAATGTGCATCTTTAAGTCACACAATAACTATGTCTTCTTCTGTAAAATACAATTTGATACAGTAAAAAAGATACTATTTCAGAGACATAAAGAGGGTAAAAAGGAACTCAAAGACATGTGCACCACATCCCAATACAAAGGGCCAATACAGACAAGGGTGACAGCAAGTGAAGGCGGGAGCCAAGTAGGACTGGATGGGGAATATGGAAATCCAAGTTCAGGGTGAGTGAGGCCAGGAACAAGTGGGTACAGGAAGGTATGAAGGAGAAGGTAGCAGGCAGCAGCTGTGCTGTAGACCCTTCTACACCCACCCATCCATGACTGAGGGAAGTAACAAGTCCACTGCTCTTTGATTTGATTTCTTTTTTGGTAATAAAATGAACTTATGAAGCGTAGGGCCCTGTAGAGCACATAAGCATTTTATAGCCAATTACTGCTGTCTGACACCCTAGCCCATCAGTGTTAGCTATCAAAAATGTAACAGTGAAGTCTTCTGCCTTGTCAAAATTTACTCTATAATGCAGCATTCATAGGGAAGTAAACAAGATACCCCTAGTCTGTTACAGCAGAATCAAGGCTTCTCCTCTACAGCTACAGCCTACAAACCAGCTGCTCCCATTCCATTCACCACACTAGCTGGACTTTCTCTTCTGGAAGGCGTCCCTCTATAAACAGATCTCTGAGACTACGTTACCTTCTGATCTTCCTGCCAGCTTGAGTACTGTATATGGTAATCATCCCTGCACATTAAAAACTCTAAGACAATAAAAAGTCATTTTGGACAATGAGTTGCTTAACCTATCATGCAACTGAGGGGAGGACAGAAATACTCTAAAATATCATTACCTCAGATTGCTTTTATCCATATACAGTATATAATCGAATGTGGCAAAGTCTTCTTTGGTAATCTAAAATCAAGAGATCAAAATACAGTGCTTATATTCAGAGAAACAAGTAGTCTAAAAATTATAATTAGTCTATTCCCCTTCCCCTTCAATTAAAATTTTTAATAAATGAAAATATAATCAGTGTAGTTCCCAAACCACTTGCAAAAATTTTTTGTATTACAATGTTCTTTGCAATAATATAAAATAATATAAAAAAGGGACTGTTCGCTTCAGTCCCTTGATAATGAAGTGTAATTCTGTCAATACCCTGAAAGCCCCTTATTTAATCACCTCCACTACTCTCTGTTCCATTCTACCAGCACTGAATGTCCTAGGCCTTGGTAACTGTGGTGCTTTGAATGAGATATTGGCCCCAAGGCTTAAGTGTTTGAGCACGTGGTCAGCTGATGGTGCTGTTGGGGGGTCATGGAGCCTTTAGGAGGTGCAGCCTTGCTGGAAGAAGCACACCACTAGGGGCAGGCTTCGCGAGTCCACAGCCTTGCTTCTGATTTTACTCTCTCTACCTCCTATGTGTGCTTGAAGATGTCAGCTCCCAGATTTCTGCTCTGGCTCCCTCCAGCCATGCCTCCCACGCCATTATAGACTCTCCCTCTGGAACCATGAGCCAAAATGAACTTTTACTCTAAGTCACTTTTGGTCATAGTATTTTATCACAGCAACAGGAAAGTAACTAATACAGCAACATATACCAGATGAAGTGACAGATCTTTGTCCTTGTGGGCCACCAACCCACACAGGAGAATAAATGTCCTGGAGAAAAACAGGATAGAAAGGAAATACAGGGCCTTGAGAAAGAACTGGTTTCCAGAAGAGTAACCAAAGAATTCTATCCATGACTATAAATCCATAACTTAAGCTAACACAGAAGGGATTCCCTCAAGACTTTACCAGATTCTAACATAAAGAAGTACTTTTTTCTGCCAGGCATGGTAGCTCATGCCTTTAATCCCAGCACTCAAGAGGCAGAGGCAGGTGGAGCTCTGTGAGATTGAGGTCACTCTGGTCTCCATAGCAAGTCCAAGCTAGCTGGGACTACAGTGAGACCCTGTCTCAAGTACTGTTTTCTGACACCATAGCTTAGATATGTGAGCCTGCTTAAAACATAAATGAAGAAATTATCTTGCAGATTTTGACTTCCCAGGAGACACTGAAATGCTGGTTAGAGATAGAGGGGGGTAAGCTGTTGTGCTATCAAACAATGACTACAGCCAAGAATAATAAAAATACTCAATGCTGGTTACTCTGTTAAAAATGGGAAATACTAGCTTTTAGTATGCACTCCTATTAATGTTGATAAGGCATTTAAATAATTACAAAGGACAAGATGGTAACTTATTTCAAAATCTATTGAACAAATACTATAATATGAAATATATTCTTTTTTCAAATTATGAGAAATACCTTGGGACTTAAACATCTATTTTGACCTGATTATACTTAACTTTTCCTAAAAAAGGAAATGCTTAATAACTGAGTCAAACTACACAGGGGTTTCGGATTTATAATAATAATAAGGAACAGCAGCTTTAACTGACATCTCACATAGAAGACACACTAAAGCATTTCTGCAGCTACACAGAAAATGACTTGTGGCAAAATGACCCCACTACCAAAGACAACTGAAAACCACACATAGAAACAAAGCACATCTTCAAAGTCATGGGCATGCTCCTAGGATAACCTGGCTCACTACTGCAGTTGTGACAGGAATATGGTCACTGATAAAAGATCAGCCCCCATGGAATTCCATAAGCCCTCTGCACAGAACAGTGTGGGCCTTACCTGTTGACCCCAGTGGGCACTGACAGAACCCTAGAGCAGAAATCTAACCTTTTACAGCCCAAGAGCTCTTTTTTTTCTCTCTCTTTTTTTTAAATGATTTTGTGTGTGTGTGTGTGTGTGTGTGTGTGTGTGTGTGTATTTCACACAGAACCTCCCAATCTTATTCACCCTTATAACCACATCCTAAATGGCACCCTCCCATAGCCTCCCTCCCCCCAATTGAAGCCTATATACTCTGTCATCCCTGTTACTATCCACTATGTTATCAGTGCCCCCAGCTGTTACCCAGTACTAGTCCATTGCTGAATCTAATCAGCCTATCTAGAGTTCCTTGTTTAGCGCTTCCTCATCCAGCAGCAATCAGTTGCCAACATTCCTTTAGATAAGATTGGGGTCTGCTGTTCATTTTCCCAGTTCTATGCTGGGTTAGTTACTGTCTGGGAGTCTCTTGGGCCACCCTGGCCAACAACTCAAAGGAAGGTATCTCCTGTCTGGCATTGTTTCTTGTTAGGTAGCCTTTGGCTATACACATGGACTCTTAAAGAATCATAGTGATGACTTTAATCCTTGGTTAAACTTTCCTTTTGGGTGTTTAAGACCATACAGTCGGCCCAGATTAACCAATTATTTTTACTCTTAAAGTTGAATCTGTTCCTCAGGGGTCACATGGGCTTGGGAGGAGCCCCTGACTCCTTTCTTTTACCAGTTCCACCTATGTGAAGATAAGTCAAAGGTCCTACTCTACTATGGCTGGCTTCACTTGGATGCATGGAGGAAATGTTTCCTCTGTGTTGACCCTCCTCTTTGTAGACTGGACACTGGTTCAAGTCCATCTGGTGGGGTCTCCACAGCCTCCTTAATCAAGAGGACAGGTGACTCACCATAGTTACAGGACATTTTGAGAGATGCTCCATAGTCCCCTGAAGCTTAGTTTACCTTGGAGGGCAAGGAGCAAAAACTGTCCTTTAAGTCCCTCTGACCAGATTAGTATAGGCCTCAAAATATGGCTGTTAAACATCCAAGGTTAGTTCCACCAGTCTGGTACTTTTAATAACCATGTGCTACGAAGATAAAGTTTGGGCAAAAACCAAACATTCTCAGATAAACCTTGACTACACATATATTATGTTCCTTGAGCCAGTTGTATGTATAATTTGTCAGTAAATTGTTGGACTAATATGGTTCCTTCTGTTTTTTTCAAAACTAGCTAGGCATTATTTATCTCTCTCATTGTCTAAGCCTTCTACCACGGTTTCCCCATTTTTCCCATTTCTCCCTAAATAACACCCTTCTCCTATGGTCCCTCCTCTAGCCCAAGAGCTCTTTATAGCCTATTGATGGGGGTTATAGCATCATTATTGAAACTAAAGAAAAATATTTTTATTAATCAAAAATACAAATCCATTCTTCCTATGAGGTTTTTAATTTTAAAAACTTTCTAAAGATTTTTAAAATTTTTTATGTATATATGTATGTCTATGAATGTATGCAATGTTTGTGCAGGTACCCAAGAAGGGTAGAGAGAATATGGGATCCCCTGGAGCTGGAGTTACATATAGTTGTGGGTGCTGGGAACCAAATACTGGTCCTCTGAAATAGCAGAAGTGGTCTTAACCACTGGGTACTATGATACATGTTCTAATGTTAAGTAATGTACAATTTAGGAGTACTTCCAAAGCACTTGTGAATCACTGTGAATACTATTCTTTGATACTAAACCATACCTGGGTACGCAATGGTTAGAGGTTAGCTGTAATGCACACTGGAAGTCCTATACAAAGAGCCCCCAGGACAGAGATGCCAATGGTGCAAAGGGTCCAGGAACCTCCTTGAGAGGAGAGATCTAGGCAAGGTCCACAGTGGAAACACAGGGCCCTGAGTGCCCTTCCGTCAGTCTGGGGCAATGCAGAAGAAACTGGGACCAGGCCTGGCAGGACAGCCAGCTCTGGAGGAGCACTGGCCCAGAAGATGAGAGTCAGCACTCTGGGCCTTGCCTACCTAACAGGGAAGAAACTCAACAGGCCAAAGAGTTTCCATGGACTCAGTGAAGAAAAGACCAACACTCTATGCCATGAGCTGTCACACAGGTGTGCCATCCATGCAATACCTCAGACCAGCAGAAGGAATGGGGCATTCAGAGGCAGCATAAGCCTCCAATCCTAAGATGCTCATCTACCTGCATCCTTGCAACACTGAACCAGTCTAGGAGCAAACACAATTATCCAAAGGCTCTGTGATTATTTATACACCACCCCAAGGGCACCATGCAACAATGAAAACAGAAAGCAGGCTCACCAGACCTGGTGGTGCAGGCCTATAATCTCAACTACTTTAGGAGGCTGAAGAAGGAAGATCAAGCCAGCCTGGGCTACAGAGTGAGTTCATGGCTAGCCTGGGCTACAAAGACCATTAAAATAAAGAATAACAACGCTGGTAATATGGGTTAGTGGCAGATCACTCGCCTACAAGCATGTGCCAGACCTACCTAAGTTTAATTCCCAATACTGGAGGCGGGGGGCATAGAAATGACCCATACAGTTAACAGACCTTATTTAAAATAGTATTTCTCTCACGAATTCACAGCAGTTGTGGTTTTACCTGCACAAGATGGAGCCCATCAACATTCTGATAAGGATGGGTGTGCTAGATAGCTTAAGTTTCACCAGAAAACTACAACCACAGAAAGATCAAGGAAAACTTAAAGCAATCAATCAATAAAAATAGACAATAAGAACTCAGTAAATACAATTTCATGGCCTCTGGAAATAGCAAAAAGATTAGTAGTTCAGAAAGCTGGTCAGTAGGAAATCACGTACTAGGAGCAGGATAATCAGAATGGAAACCAGAGAACAGAATACAGAAAAGGTATGTTCAACAAACATTGGCTTTCAGAAGGAAAGAAAAACAGAGGGAAAGGGGTAAATTATGAAAAAAGAACAGTCTGAGGTTTCCCAAAATTGATGAAAAACATCAAGTCACATTCAGGAAGACTACTTGGGGCTCTCATAGCAAAGTTGCTGAAACTAAAGATCAGAAGAAAAACAGGCAGCCAGAAAAAGATAGTACTTTCAAACCAAAGGAGCAACAGAAACAACTGATGATATCAATTCTTCTAAACAGGTAAAGCAGGACTCCTACCAGCCTTCTATAGACTGTTTAAAGAACAGGAAAGCCCCCGATGTGTTTGATGAGACTGAAAAACTCTCAGTAAGTGACAGGTATGAGTGCTGGACATAAAGTCATGAGAACCCTGTACAGATGCTCACCTCATCTACAATGGCATCATCCACATGAGCCCCACACTAGAAGTTGCCCACACCCACAGCACAGGTAGATTGGCAGAGGTAGATCAGGTAAATAAACTGCAGAACAATGCGGCACTCAGCACTGACTGCTACACTTACAGACTACACACGCATAGCCCCCACTTCTAAGCCAGGGAGGTGACACAAACCTGCAAGCCCAGCACTGGGGAGGCAGAAGAACTGCCCTGAGTTTGAGGGTCTAGGCTAGGCTACAGACCTTGACTCATCAAACAAAACACAACACAAATGATCCTACTCCTACAAAGCTAAAAGGCAGAATGAAGCTTTGGGAATAACTTCTGCACAAATGGGAACAGGTTTGCCAAGGGGCCTCAACGTCATAGTCAGTTATATAAGCTGACTATAACACATCCCTGTGTGTGTGTGTGTGTGTGTGTGGTCAATTTAATATAAGCTGGTGAGAGGTCACTTAAAAAATAACATGTGTACAACTAGGGTAATTCTCCACCCAGCTTACCACACTGAACTGACATCCTAAGAGACTAAGAAATAGACGAGCAACATGTCATTTATTAAACCTAGGTTGATAGAACCTGGAAAATGAAGATTTTAAGAACTGTGCAAGAATAGTTATTTACACAAACTGTGAAAATTAGTAAAAAGAAAGAGCCTGTAAACAAGCTGGGATGTGATAATGACTTACAAAAATATTCTTTACTTTGAAATTGTAAAAAAAAATTTAAAAAAAAAAGGTTGGGAAATTTTTCCTAAAAACAAATGGAAACCGCTCTTTTGGCCGTGCTGGGCAGCAGATCCCCCACCATGGGCCATGTGATTCAAGGGCAGAGGAAAGGTTCTGGCTCCGTGTTCCACATGCACGTGAAACACCAGAAGGTGCTAAGTGTCTACGTGCTGTGGGCTTCGTTGAACAGCATGGCTACATCAAAGGCATCGTGAAGGACACCGCTCACTATCTTAAGGGCTGGTCGAGCCTACCACAATTACAAGGTAAAGAGGACCTGTTGGCCAGGTGTACGGGGTGCAGCTATGCATCCTGTGGAGCATCCCTTTGGAGGGGGCAACCACCAGCACATTGGCAAACCCGCCACAATTCGCAAGGATGCCACTGCTGGGCGCAAAGTGGGTCTCACTGCTGCTTGCCAGACTGGGCAGCTATGAGGAACTAAGATGTTCAGGAGAAAGAGAACTAGAACTGAGGGGCTCTATTTTTTAAAAAAGAAAAACCACAAAAAGATTCTATGGAAATACTACTTTCAAAGCTGATCATTAAAACTGCTCTTGAAAGAATTCCAGCTTTGTTTTTCAAGGTGTATGTACTTAAAATACTCTACTTACATGTGTACCACTTTTGTTACACAATTCTGATGGATACTCAAAATAAGTCTCTATCCCCCAGGCTGTGGCAAAAACATTGGACAAATATGCAAAGCCTTAAGTAATTCAAATGAACAAATGATGTAAAATCTTTCATCTTCTGCCCCAATGAAAACTCTATTTAAAAGAGGATCAGAACTTACTTAATTTAAAAAAAGAACTCAGAAAAATGCAGCTGCCGTTTTCTGATTTATAATACGAATACAAAGCTATCGTCATCTGAAATTGAAGAGTCTGTTATTACTTCCGTAGTAGTCTTCAAAGTCCAGCAACAGACCACTAAGTGTTTATATTTTGGGGCACTTCAGATAAGGATGTTTTTGGATATGTGTGACTTTGTTGTATCAATAAACTGGTAACATAAGCAGAATAGTCACCATGGCCTAAACGTCTAACCAAAAATTATGCACTAATAAGAGTAACAGAGACCACAGCTCAGGCCTGGCTCATAGCTGGACTGTCTCACTATGATTTATGCCATTTTTATTTGTTACTTAACAAGGAACGCTAAGGCCACTCAAATCCTTCAGAACTATACACATCAGGTTAGGTCACCCCAATCAAACATACCCATTAACACAGGGTTGCTCAGCCTCTCAAGTAGACTCTATGCAGTAGAAATTAGACAGGATCTTTTCTACCTGTCTTGTCTTTTGGGCTGTGCTAATGCCACATTTCTTCGGTAGCTGACAGCTCTTGGGTCCAGGGCTAGCCAGAAATAGCGCTGCTGTCAATGGCCCACTGTAACACAAAGTGTAAGTCAAGTTCCAGTACCTGACGAGCAAGGTGATTCATGAGGATGTCAGGCTTTCTCATGCAGTTCTGCCCTCGATAGTCAGGGGGATTCTCCACTTCATAGGTAGATGTAGCTGCACTGTCTATCCTCCACTGCAGGAAAGAAAAAGACTGTTCTGGACTTTGCTGCCCAGAGGTGTTCAGGCTGGACTCTTCAAAGAACTGAATAGCTCTTACACTGAAACGTTTTCATCATTTACCAGTTTTCTGAAAACTGCTTCTGCAATGGGTGACTGGCAAACGTTACCTTAAAAAGAAGGGAGACATACAGAGGCTGTTAGTCATGGTAGAAAGGACATTGATTTCTGGCCTAAAAAGTGGGTAGTCCACTCCTGTGGTGGATGTAAAGTAGCTACACCTTCTGTGAGGAGAAGCAAAGACTGGCAAAGCAGAATAGAATTCCCTAGGAGAGTAGCTGTCCAAACCAGGTTCAGTACCTGACAGATGGCTGAGGTAACAAGTATCAGGAAAGTAAATGAAATAAAAATCAGTTTTCACAAAAGCAAATTATGAAATCAATGAAGTAGGTTGCAATCAGCTTAGTTTAAAAAATAAAAAGTGGGATGGAGAGATGGCCCAGTGGTTAAGAGCACTGACTTGCTCTTGCAGAGGACCCAGGTTCGATTCCCAGCACCCACATGGTGGCTACGAACCGTCCTTACCTCCAGTTCCAGGGTAATCCAAAGCCCTCTTCTGACCTCCACGGCACTGCATGACATGGGTGCACTCACATACATGCAGGCAGTACTCTCATACACATAAAAAAATAATAATAAATAAAATATTTTTTTAAAAAAGAACAGAACAGAGATATTTATTTTCAGGTATATCACACATAACAAAGAAGAGTAATACTTCAAAGCAAAATGCAAATGTGTTTAAGCATGGTAGTTGAACACAAGCTTTACTAAGCAATCACGTGCAAAGCCCTATCCCAGGAGGCCTGTGGTCCCCAGAGTTAACTAGGAAGAGGTCCCTCCTGACTGCCCCACCTGCCTACAATATTTGACATCTGTAGCGAGGTCTAGAGCCCCACACTAGCTGACTACAAAACTGTCCATCCCCACCTGCCGATTCCCTCAGAATAACCATGGAACTCAGGAAAGTGCTGTATTTATGACTTTGTTTTAATATAAGACAAATTGTAGCCAACTAAAATAAGTCTCATTCTAGGGGTCCCAAAAAGGAGTTTCCCTGTCCTCGGGGACACCTGATTCTCCTGTCACCAATGACTGACAGTACAAGAGTATTACTGCCAATCCAGGAAGCTTGCCATAATACTAGTATTCAGGGTTACTAGTTAACTGTGAGGAGATGGTAACTCAGGACCCAGCCTGAGTCCCTCAACAGGATAAACTATGGGGCTACCAAGACACTCTATTACTCCTACAAAGTCTCAGGGAAACCAAAGGTGACTTTCCAAGAGCCAAGCCAAGGACTAAATTCCTTACTACACAGACAAAAAGACATCTCAACTTTGCAAGCAGGTCTGCCATGAGCCAGCCACTTACAGAAGGAAGACACAAAATAACAAAAACAAGAAAATAAATGCCAGTAAGTGATGCAATAGTACAGGACCAGAAAAACAAGGATTGCCCCCAAACTAAATAAGCTGCCTGGAACCTGAGCCTGAGCCAATGCTCACAGGATGAAGAGTCTAATGGGCCAAAGCCAAAGCTGCAGGGTACAGGGGTGCATCTGTGCTGGTCCAGGCACAGAAGACAGAAAGTGTGAGCTGAGGGGTCTGACACATGGAGCCCTAAGCCCATGCCAAAGTCTGTAATTGGTGTAGCCAGTAAGAACCTGAAGGTTCTAGGGAAAGGGGCAGTATGACTCATTCAACACATTAAATCTATATACCTACTACTTTTGAGTCAAGCTGTGGTAGGGCTTGCAGATAGAAAACTGTTTTAAATACACCTCTTCCTACAAGTTAAGAACCTCAGAAGAGCTCAGGACTGAAAGCAAACACACTCTATATATGAAGGTAATATGAAAAGGCCAGTGGGAAAGAGGCTAAGGTAAAAATGTATGATTCTTCACCCACGATTTTTAAAAAAAATCTTATGTATTATTTTTATTTTATGTGTATGAGTATATTGCCCGCATGTGTCATGCAATGCTCTCAGAGGTCAGAAGGGGGCATCGGATCCCCTGGAACTGGAGTTACAGATGTGGGTGCTCGGAACTGAACCTGAGTCCTCAGCAAGAGCAGCCAATGCTCTTAACCACTGAGCCATCTCTCCAGCCCCACTTCACCCACCCTTAAGTCGGTCCACATAATTCTAACAAGGCAAGCTTACAAGAGAAAAAGAAAAACAGATTTATTTACTCAGTTTTACTTGACATGGGAACCTTTAGAATGAAGACCCTAACAGTCAGGGAAAACTGTCCAGCTTTATGTATTTTTTTTAAGTTAGCATATATAGTTTATAATTAATTTTGAGAAGAATGGACACTTGTGCATAACTGTCACTGAACAAAGGGCCTCTTCCTGATGACAACATATGCAGAGAGATTTGGGAGAGTCCAGGCAGGCCTGTCTGTGTAGCACTCTTTCCTCCTGGGTGTGAGGTGGGCTCTGGAACAAGGTCTTTAAGGCAGAATGACCTTTCTAGGTTTAAGGCTTCTCAAAAGAAACTAGAGGAATCCTAGTTTCTATGTTCTCTCTTAGAGGAATTCTGCTTTACTTCAGGTGGTATGAGATAGGAAGGCAAGAGGTCAGAAAGATTTGTTCAAAGTACATATCAAGATAAAACATCATATTTTGGGGTATCACATGAGTCTCGACATTAGGAAAAAAATTAAACAAGGGAAGGAGAAACTTTTTGAGAGAGGTTAGATTCTCCTGGCTTAGAAATGCCACATTCCAACATGTGATGAAACACACAGATGCTCTGGTCACTGTGCATCTCTCTACATCTACAAGACAGCACCTGGCTTCTTCCTATAAACTATGGTTTTCTATAGTAATAAAAAAGTCAATAAATCATGGAGGCTAAGACAAGAAAAAATAACTTTGAATGCCCTCTGTGTTAGTTTTCTGTTGCTGTGATAAAACACCATGACCAAGGCAACTCATAGAAGGAAGAGTTCATTGGGTTTACAGTTCCAGAGGGATAAGAGTCCATCACAGTGGGGCAGGCATGGCAGGAGGCAGCTGGAGCAGACAGTTAAGCGCTCACATCTTCAAGCACACACAGAAAGTGGGGAACTAGACCAGAAGTGGGCATGACTCTCAAAGCCTGATGCCAGTGACTTGCCTCCTCCAGCATGGCCATGTCTCCTAAAGGTTCCATGACCCTCCCCAAACAGTGCCACCAAATAGGGACCAAGTGTTCAAATACTTGGAGCCTATGGGGGACATTCTCTCTCATTCAAACCACCACACATGAGAAAAGTCACGCAATGTACAAGATAAACAGCAGGGAACTCTCAGTGTTAGCAACTTGGCTTGGTACTAGGGTGTTTATCTAGCATGTGCAGGACCTTAGGTCAGGCCTCTGATACCAACAACTATACACACACACACAAACACACAGGCATAAAAAGTGGAGCCCAATGGCCAGACATCAGTAAAACACAGAGCCTCAGGTTTTACCTTTTACAAGTGCTGGAAACTTAAACACCATCTTGATTCTCTTTCTCGTCCCCAGACACAGTGGCTGGAGCTGAGATTACAGCTGCCTTCCTCAGTTCTCCAGCTTACAGAGCAAAATGGTCCCCTCATAATCTTGCTAAAATAAGCTTTTCTTAACCAGTAGCCCTACCACTGACAAACCCCTGATGCTTCCATACACTTCAATCTTGAAAGAGTCCAGAAAGATTCAGAAAGAATACAACTTTTGCATTTCAAACATAATAGCTTTTTTAGCCAGATTATGAGGGGAGCTTTTTACTCACAGACCCACAGGCAGGTGAGAGGGGTCCTAGGTTTGGAAGAAGGGCAAGTGAGGCTGGGAGGACAAGGGGGAAGGGCAGGGATGATGATTTATCCTGTTAGCTTGACTGGACTGAGATGTCTAGATTATCAAAGTACAACTCTAGTTGTGTTGGTGACGGCATATCCAGAGAGTATTAGATCATAGGGGCTCTGACCCCCAATGGTTTAGTCCATTAATAGAGTTACAATATGATGCCACACCTGGGAGATAATGAAAAGCAAGACGTGGTGCCTACCTGAAGAAAGTGCACCACTGGGGGCCTGTCCTTGGAGCTAAGGCTTGCCTTGGCCCTTCCTACTTGTCCCCTTTTCTACACGTACTGTTCACATGGAGCAGTCTCTGCCTCATGCTCTGGCCACTCTGATGACCTTGATGCTCAGATGCATATGCCCAGAATCAAAAGAGCCATGCAACCATGGACTAACCCTCTGAAACTGAATAAAAAACCCTTAAGTTTTCTGATTAGATATTCTGTCACCGAGGTGAGAAAAGCAACACAGCGGTTAAGGGATGACACAGACGAGAGGAGGGGTAGGAGAGAGGAGCCACAGGCTTGGGACAGGGACAGGAGGGAGGACATGTTTGTGAAGGAAGAGCAGGTAAGAGGGTGACATGGGCTTGGGAAGGACAGTAAGGTGAGCAGGGACATAATTTGAGACAAATTATGGTTTAGGTTCACGTAGTACCGGAAGATGAGCCAGGCAAGTGACTGTTCCTAGGCGCCTGCCCATCCTCGGCTTCCGCCCCTGCTTCCCTCCGCACAGTGTTCTTCAAAAGCTCAACACAGAGCGCATGCAAGGTTCCTAGGAGAAAGGCTGTGTTAAGTCGGCGCACCCTTACCCAGACACACGAAGAACACCGACTTAGTCCCATGCTCAGCCATCTTCCGGTGCGGACCGGGCGCCCAGTGACCGCGTAGGCAGGTGGAGCGTGCGTACCGCCACCATCACGCGGGTAAACCTGCGCAGTCAGCCGCCCTGCGTCTTCGCGCTGCTGGAGGCGGGGTCGCCAGTTGCCTGCGGGCCCGCGAGAGTGAGGGGCGGGGCCACCGCCCCGGGGGCGGAGCGCGAGGGCGGGGCAGGGGCGGGGCCACCCGGTTCCCTGGAGGGCGAGGCCGCGCTTTCGCTCTCGGCCCTGCGCTGTCCAGAGGTGCAATCACCCTTGCCGTCCGACTCACCTGGGTGCGGGCGGGGTGTAGGGAGGGGAACAGGTAGTAGGTGAGGTGGGCGTGCAAGCCGAGAGCCTCAACAGGGCGAGTCCGGGTGGTCAGGCGATATGGAGGGCGGGTCAGGGCCAGTGAGTTCTAGGCGACGGCAGGCAGACAGACCTCTGGACTGCGCGCCTCGGCTCCTGCTCCGGCCCTTCTGGTCTGCCTACCCCTCTTAATTCCCTCCCCTCGGCCGTCCCACTGCCCAGCAGTGAGTGCTCCGTGTTTAAAAAGAGGGATGATTTAGAAGGCTCCAAGGGAATGAGGAGGGTGGGCGCCATTGTGCAATGTCCTAAACAAGGGTAGAGGACAGGGGGTTGCACCACCCAAGGCAGGGCTGACACCTGTCCTCTCACCTGAGTCAGGTGTGCGCCGCTGGGCGGGTCCGGCCGAGGAGGCGGGCCGAGTGGGGGGCGCCTTCCTCTTCCCGGGCAGGTGTGCGGAGCTCCGGCGGGGAGCTGAGCGGCGGGCATCAGTGAGTACGGGTTTGGCGGCTGGGGCGCGTCGTACCGCGGCCACCCCTCCTCTTGCAAAGGCTTTGCAGAAGAGGAGCTGAGAGAGGACGTAGTAGCTGGGTTTGGCTGTTGCATTCACCGGGTTCCCATTGCTTGGATCCTCGGCAGATCGTCAGAACTCAAGATTAGCAGTTTCCACATTCTGGGTCACAAAGGTTTTAATTGAAGTTTAGACACAGTCATTTCAGTTCATTCAGAAAAGCTTCTCACACGTTTCCAATTTTGAAGATTGACTTTTATTTTCTTATTTTTCTAATACCTAGTATTTTACTATCATCCGGCTCTTTTTTTTTTTTTTTCGAAATGGCAACCTTGGCTGGAGCCGCGCCTTTGCTGCAAAGTCTGGGATGTGTGTGGGGCTCTCCAGGGGAGGGGATCTCCGGAAAGGATGTTACCCGGGGGTGGGGCACTCCTGGGCCAGGGTTTTCCCTGGAGAAGAGTGCCAGACTTTCTACACTGGATCACTTAGCCCCGCGACCGCGCGCTAGGAAAAGACTAAGGTTCCGAAGGGGACTGTGGGGAGAGTAGGCTGAGTGCCCCGCCTCTGGATGTTGTGCAGAGACGTTCCTTTTTAGTGTGAGACTGCTCTGAATTTGTTGATAGCAATAGAAACAGGATTTCTCTACTGCTGAAAATGTGCCATCTTCATTTCACTGACCTGCTAAGGTTAGGAAAGAGAAGGAGCCACCTCCGCCCTCAGGAATGTCCTGCTCTGGGGCAGAAGCCATGCTCTGCCCTGTTTACCAAAAGAGCAGGTTCTGAATTACTACTTGCCCGGTATTTCCCTGAGATGTGAGGAAATGTTTGGATTAATGATGAGTTAGAAAACCTGCACACACAGCTTAGGGGATAACAGGCCTCTGGTTTAAGGTGCTATTTTACTCTCTGGCATGGTCTGTTATTGAAATACCATAGCAGCGTCTGATTGTTTGCAAATTACTATGTTGGAAATTAGAGTAAGTGATAACTTCCATCCTGTTTATTACATTTAAATTAAGGAGAATTGGTTACTGGCTCACTAATATTCAATATCTGTGAGTCAATGCTTCTCATCATCATCTTCACCATTAAGTGTTTTTAACTCTGGTACATTTGTCCTGTTTAGGACATTTTTATTCTCAGATTTCTCCCTATTTAGAAATAAGTATTTGGTGTTTCAAAATAAAAAGACATTGACAGTTGTCAAAGGCAAATATTTACTTTGTGACTACTTATAGCGTCACAACCTTATACCTAGCACTCATTTGCAGATGGTATCATGAAAAGACTGAATTTTTGCGTTTTAAGGCCTGACTAAACACATTGGATTTCCCCCCCCTCTGGGAAGATTTTTTGTTGTTTTTGCTTTGTTTTTTTGAGGTAGGGTGCCCCTGTAGCTGGCCTGGATCTCATAAAGATCCACCTGTCTCTGCCTCCCGAATTCTGCAACTAAGGGCATAAGCCACCAACCATGCCCAGCTTCTAGGGAAGATTTCTTTTTTTTTTTTTCTTTTTGTCTTTTTGAGACAGGGTCTCCCTGTAGCCCCGGCTGGCCTGGAACTCGCTATGTAGACCAGGCTGGCCTCGAATGCTCCCAAGTGCTGGGATCAAAGGCAGTTGCCGCCATACCCAGCTCTAGGAAGATTTCTAAGTGATATAATTAGATGAGAGTGCATCTGTGGTCCTGTCCTAAGCCAACATCTCCCTGAATTTCTCTGGGAAAGAGGTGCAAGTCAAGGATTTTGCTGCCCATTGCTCCCAGTAATTTGTCCCTATCCACAACCACACATCAGAGGAATAAGGAGATAGGCAGATTGGCATTCACATGGTTAATTTGACTGTAAACTTGGTTTAAGGGAGTTAATGGCCTGACTAGAAATATGGATTCTGACTACCAATTTTGACAAGCTTGGTCTCCTTTAGACAAATGAAGTAGTTAAACTCGGGCCCCAGAAAGATAACAGTAATCTAGACACAAGGTAGACGATATCAGCAGCAGTCTTTCAAGTTGTACTCAGCAAGCAAGGCAACATTTCAGAGCCTCTTGAGAGATTGTATAAAGTTTCTTTTATTTTGGTCAACTTGTTCTAAATACTGTATAACCTTAGCTGTAGTTCTAGTTTCTTTGATTTCTACTGGGGTTTTATCAGTTTAGCAAATAAACCTCCATTTCATTTAAAGTAAAATCTTAAAAAATTGATTAATGCATAATTAATGGAAATTAGAAAGCCATTTCTAGGCATGATTTTCCCATAGGTACCCCTTTTATAATTTAGTGTTTATTGAAGAAAGTTTGTTGAGGGATGGATATCGAAGGAAGCAGTTTGTGATCTAGAACTCCGATTGAAGTGGGGGGGGGGACTTTGATCTCTAGGCCTTTGCTCCTGACCCTGGTTCCAGATTGGAAGCAGTGGTTGACTTTCTCACTTCAGTGGAAATTTATTCAGAATAGGACTCAAATACCATTGTTTGACCCCGGTGGCCCTAGTGTGAGTTATTGATGAATCGTCAATATATAAAACTATTTTCAAATCTTCAGCTCATTGACACTCCAACACAAAATTTTTCTTCCCAAGATTTATAAACTCTTCTTAATATCTTAATAGTATAACATTTTTAAAATATGGAAAATATCAAATATTTTAATTCCTTTTGAAAGAACACTTTACATCTAAGACTTTCTGGGCTTGAAGCTTAACAGTCACCCTTACGGGGGGGAAATGACCTTAAATATTTAGGAGTAGTTTGCTGGCTTTGGAATTTAGCAGTTTAAGGCCTTTATGAGTGTTCAGATGCTGTAATGTGATGTTGAAGAGGCATCGTAGTCACTCAATAGAGTCATTGAATATGATACCTATATCCATGGTCTGTGGTGGTCCTTATAGCAAAACAGAGGACAAGTGAGTGCTCCAGAATTTGAAGCTGAGGACAGGAAGTAGGACCTATATCTAAACCACACTTGTCAGTAAGTAGCCCATCCAGAGTAGACAACCTATGACTTGAAGGCTTCATGGCACTTAAGAGCCCAGAAACCCTCTGCCCATGACTTTCCCCTGGGCAGGATGTTTATTTTTACATAGCATTCAGTTGATGTGGAATGTATGTGTATGACTCGAGAGAGGTCAAAGTAGAAAGTCTTTGTGGACAATGTGTGTGTGTGTTGTTTATTCTGTTGTAGTTGCTCATGTCAGAATATCTGGTCTAAATTGGTTTTAACACAAAAGAAGTTTTTCCACTTCATTTAATTGAAAGTCCAGGAGTACTCTTGAGTTGAATATGGTCTTTGAAACACCTAGCTACTGCTTCTACTTCTGTCTAATATTCCTCTGCCCAGTGTGTTCAGGCTGTCCTATGGAGACAAATCCTGGCTGAGATACACATGGAAGTATCACTGTGTCCCAGCAGCACCCACACAAGTGTCTGGTCCGATGCAGGCTTAGACCAGTGTTAACTAGAAGCTCTACTGTGGCCCAGGAGTAGACTGTCCTAGAATCACAGACTTGGTTATATGCTCTCCCAAGGTCCCAGAGCCACAGCATCAGGGGAAGCAAATACATCATGCTGCTTCCTAAATACATTAGAGTAGGTATTCAGCAAAAAGAACACATTTCTATGCCACTAATAGATCCAAATCAGCAAACTCTATTAGGCGTCTAGATAGTGAACAAACATTCAGGACAAGATGATGATGAGAGAGAAGCACAGTTCTAGCCTGCAAAGACTGCACGTTAGATAGAGAAGGTGAGGCACATGTATTTTAGGTTCACATGGGCATCTTTTCCCTCATGGTGTGTGCAGATGGGCTTGTGCTATCATTATTATTAGTCCTGTGTCCTTCCTAAGGGTCTGACAGTCCAGCTCTTTCACAACAGTGGTGACACCCTTCTACAAATGTTTTACTACTACTCAACTCTCCAGGGCTTAGAGGACACTTGTGGGACGTGCTAGTGCCCTACAACCCATCTCCTAAGCACATCTGGAGATCTTTGCTGGGTCTTTCTGTGGGTCAAGCAATCAGATCCCCTGTGGCTTTCTTGTATGCTGCTATGCTTCTTGTCCTGGGCAAGGGCTGCTTAGGTACCACAACACCAGCTATTCCTCACCACTGTCTGGCTCTCCTTAAGGTCTAGGGAATGTGTTAGAGTCTAAGAGGCTAGGAGACCTTGTTATTCCTCAGTATGTTGTTTTCTAAATCCATTGGATTTCCTATGTAGATGAATCTTCACTGAATCCTCATAGGATTTTGAAAAAGTCACACAAGTAGTTATTCGTTTAACAAATATTTAGTGAGCATTTGATACAGTCAGACATCACTGTATGGGTTGGAAATAGTATAATTAGTAACATATCAGGCTGGAGAGATGGCTCTGCAGTTAAGAGCACTGACTGTTCTTGTAGAAGACCCACGTTCAAATCCCAGCACCCACATGACAGCTAACAACTGACTGTAACTCCAGTTCCAAGGGATCCAACACCCTCTTCTGTCCTCTGAGGGCACTGCACAACACAGGTGCACTTACACACATGTAGGCATGACACTCATACACATAAAATAGAAATAAATAATTTTTTCATTAACATGTGTACATATAACACATGCACACACACATAGCACATATACTACATAGACCCACATAGCATACATGAACACTTAGCCTATATATACAGGTGCACATGTACACCACATGTAGATGCATGCTTGGTACATGCACACATACTACACACATACACAACGTGCATGTACACACAGCACATAGAACAGGCTATGATGTAGACTCAATATCTGACAATATGATGAGAGACTAAGCAACAGAATCATTTTCTGAAGTATCATTTAGGTGAATCCTCTCTGTAGAAATAGCCAAATGGGTTCAATATTAGGAACAGGCAAGTAAGAAGCTACAAAATAGACCAGGTGATGATGTGCTCTGGGACAGCATGGCAGCAAGGGAGGAGTTGAGATGCAATCAGACTATAAGAA